ATAAATAAATAAATAAATAAAATATCATCACCGCAGGGAGGGGGGCGATGATAACTTCCTCAATGGCTCAAGGGGGCGTTTCTTTCAAAAAGGTTAAGAACCACTGGTTTAGGATATGCAGTAAATGTAGACAATGATAAAAGCTAGTATGTTGAACTAAATGTGTTCTTTACAACATGTCCTACAATATTCTGCATTGTGCATAATCTCCCATGACAGACACCCATCGGTTATATGGAAATCAAGTAGGTAAAAAAGGTGCTAGGTTAGAAGAATGGGAGCATGTAGTTCCCTGAAAAAATTTATCTCAGAATAACAGATGTTAAGGGAAGCACATATTTAGGCAAGGACACATGTAGTTTCCTAAGATGATAAAGATGTACCTACAGAAAACATAAAAATTCTTCAGGAACAGCCACATACACATCTCAGAAATGGATTTTAAAAATGACTGTAATGTCCATGAATACCTTATTATTTCTGTTTCAAATTCCTGGAACAGATTTTAAAATAGACCTAACACTTACTTAAAGGGAAAAACAAACTCTTCTATAAAAGTTCACTCTTCCTAAGTATCAACTGAAATGGGAACACATTGAACTGTTTGCAAAACTAAGGGCCTGCATAATTGCAACAATCTGAATGTACTATCTTCTCTGTAAAGGATGCCAATATTAAGGAAAAACAAGGCATGCCCACTGCTCATTTGTTTGGTTCTCCAATGCTCCATGCAGCAGGAAACATGAATGCTTGCTCTTTCATGGAAACAAGATGCTCTGGATGCTCTCTGAAGTACTGTTATTCTTGGAAACAGGCTGATCAGCCATGCACAATTCGCTCATAACAAAATAATATTTTAAGAAAGTCTGTGTTTTTTTAGTTAGGGAATGGCTTCTTTACTTTAAAGCGGCATATCCTTAGGAGGACTGTATGTTGTGAAATGAGTGCTTTGGTTCTAGATTAGGCAGATTGTGCATAATGTCAAACAAGCATAAACCTACCTGACTCGTATACATGGCCAGCAAAGCTTTATTAAATTCTATTGCTTGGAGTTGTTTCTTGGAGAGTTTATGTTCAACCCCTTCTGCATTGGTCAGCTTCACCTTTTTCTTTGAATCAAAGACATTTTGGTCCTGTGAAATACAACACAAGAGATATAGCCATTGACAGAAATATAAGATTTCTCACAATCCTCGATGCAATCTTTACACTATACCAATTTTACAATTGCAAGGTAAAGGTTTAGAAGATACAGCAAGAGGTGGACATTTAAGGCAGTATCAGATTGCACTTGAGAAATGACTGGGATAATTCTATACCTTATTGATAGTAATGATGTTATTGGCAATGACAGCTAGCAATCCCACATCTGTTGGCCTGTGAATAATATGACACATTTATTATTCTCAATTTATGTAATTTTTTTAAAGACACTTATAACCACCACCAGCACAAGGAACAACTTACTTCAGTTTGATTATCTGATTATAAAGTTGCAGAGCTTCCTCTGTATGACCCTGAAGCTGTAAAATATAAGCCATCTGACCATGAATAATGGCCAGTTCAGCCTCAATGTCTTCTTCGGTGACATCCTAAAAGAAAACATTTTAAAAAGTTCTTAACATTGTACATTTACACAGTGCCATTTGTGATATCTGAACTCATCAGCTGAGATCCTGTTCAAACTGGTGTAAAGTTATGTCTGCAGAAGATGTTGGGCCTTATGGCTAGGCAGCTAGCATTGTGTAATTGATTGCACATCTCATGCCAGAGTTGTGTATTGTAACTGCACAACCAATCACACAATTCACACTGGACTGTTGCACAACATGCTTGCTGAAATGCTTCATGGATACCACTCCTGCCCTACTGCATTTTTCCCTGCCACTTCACATTAAGTACATGTAGTTGTGCAACAAGATTTCAGTCCCTGACTTGTAATTAAAATCCAAGAGTTTTTAGCTGCATATGAATATTTTACTTCCACTGATATACAGTATGTATTGCAATAACAGCAAGAATACTGGTTCCTAACTATTAATAAACACAAATATTTTAATGATGCTTAGGATTTTATTTGTTTGTTTGTTTTCTTTTTTGGATTGGTAGTGTTATAAAGGTCTCTTGCTAGGATGTCTATTTAACTTGATCTTCCACTGTCACATTTTGGGTGGCAGTACTCATGAAGGAAAAAGTTGCTGATTCATACAGTGCCTGAATTTCAGTATGATGAAGAAAAAGCACTAAGTTATTGTATAATCCAAGTGGGTTTATACAACTGACATACCAACTACAAATATACAGATTTATTTAGTACAGGAAGTATACATCTCGGGGGAACAAAAGTAACTTACTGAGTCTTCCGAAAGCGACTGACGACACAAATCTGCAGGGAAAGTGTGAAGAATTAATGCTGGCATGCAAAGGAGCCATCAATTGTGAGGATTCACAGTAACTTAATATAAAGAATTTGCACTTGCATCAAGAAATATAAAAATGCTGGCAATTTCAAGAACTATAAAACGTGTCGCAAAGAAAATAAAGTTGTCCTACAACTTTATGGAGCAACACACATGCCCCAACACAAAGCTAAACTCGAAGCTCTCTATAAGACTCGCATAAATAACTTTTAGGCAATGACTTATTACTGTATGTGAAGCTAGCCAGCACATCCATATATTATGTATCTCTGTTGTGTTCATTACTAGTATAACCCATAAAGACCATAAAAGACACTGGCTAGAATCCTATTATTGTTCTCCTAAAGTCTGCATAATTTGCTGTGGCTAATTGTAACTAACTGCAAAGTGCTGAGGTGTGCCTCAGTCATGTATCTGCACTGCACAACTTGGATGTCCCCTGGCACCTCATCAGTTAGGTGCAGTAGATTTATGAAGACCTTATACAAATACCAGTAGGATTCCACTGAATAAATATAACTTTTATATAACAATGCACATAACAGATTATATCATTACTTGTGGCTTGCATGTTTGTTCATAAGATGCACTGCCACTGAACAACACATTTATTTTAACTAAACTGGCAATGTGTATAACATTTTCACATATTAGATAAATCTTGGACAATGGGAAGAAACCAAATGCATTAGCATGTCTAGTCAGGGGCTTCTAAATTAACACAGTCACATATTTTTACAATTTCCACAGCATATCTGTGTAATCTTACATAATTTTACAGTAACTTGTCATTCTTGTCCTTATCTGATTCATGATTTATCTTTAGTAATTTTCCAGTAATTCTCTCTGTTTTCTATATTGTTTTCAATTTTTATAGAGAATGCAGGTAACAATGATTCTTTCCACGAAGCAAAAGAAAAAGTTATAGGGAAAGTCCAATGTATCAGCAATTACCTTCTGCTTTCTGTAGGCTTTTCATGGCCTCATTCAGCTTGCCTTGCCCAATCAAAGCACAAGCAGCATTATAACACAACTCATATGTGGCTTCTTGAAGGCCCAAATCCTCCTAGGAACAGCAAAAGTAACTATGTCAAAAATATGAGAAACCCAGTGTGACACCATAAACTAAATATAAACACCTTTGATGACTAAAAGCACATCAACCATTTTTTTTCCAAATCATTAGGTCTTAAATGAATATCCAGTAAACTCTTATAATTCAGAAGTGGGGAGACGGGCTAAATGAACAGTCCTCTTTCTGCTTGTATACTAGCAAAAAAAAATGAGAACAATATGCAATCACATCTAATTATTCTAGAAAACCAAAATACTTATCTTGATATTAGCAGTGAAAGCACATTAAGCCTTCATCAGCAATAAAAAAATCAACAAAATCATCATCATCATCATCTTAGAGCTGCAGAGCTGGAAGGGACTCTATGGATCATCAAATCCAACCTCTGACAGAATCAAACTGCCAACCAATGGCTCTACAGCCAGATACCTTAATCAGTGAGCTATCCAGCACATATTCTGATACTCAATTTTTCAGAATTTTAAAACTACTATTCTAATAAACTTCAGGCAGTAAACAATTAACCACAACATTAAACCCAAAATGTAAAATCAAATTAAAAATATAACAAGATGCATGATCAACGTAGCACAACCATTATAAAAAACAGTTTATTAGATCTGCACAATTATTTGACTGCATAGCTACAGACTATGCCATGTGATGAAGAACAGTAACAGATGCATATTAGTGCTTTCAATTCTGGTCAACACCTCGGGACACAATGAAGATTAGTTAATGTAAAGAAAAAAATGATTAATATAAAGTTTTCATACTTAACAAAATGACTAAATTTCTAATAACTATACAAGATCGAAAACCCTTACTAACAACAGACACTACCACATGGCCTCAATGGTCTCTCCAAAGTAAAAAAGGGCAAATGTGCTAAAGTTTCCTCCCCAAACAACATCCAACAACCCATAAAGACATACTGCTGCATTTTGATTACATATATGCAATTTATTTGCTGCAGAGATACCAAGGAGAGAAGATACATGTATGGAATAACACTGTAACACAAACTGACTTACTGGCACCACTTTCTCCCACGTGCTCTGAGCAGCAGTAACTGCAGAAAGGTTTGTTTTTCGTTCTTCTTCATAGTCATCCTGAGAGTTACGAATAAGATCCCGGTACACAGCTAAGCAGTCATCATAACGCTCTAATCTGTACAGCTAAAAGAAAACCGTCACATAGCAGCACACCTGGCCAGATACTAATGAAAACTAGCACTGCAAAATGCACTACTACTCATGCCATGGCCTATAAAGTAGGCAGGCATTGGCTGAAATCCTGTTGAAGTAACTTTATGCCAGGCAACCAGAATGTGATTCTGACAATGGCCCCACGTCACTCATGCCATTCATAGTCATGAGCTAATTTGCATGAGCCTATGAGAGAACTGGGGAGGCAGAGTCAGACACTACATAAGGTTTGGCAGGAGGAGTCGGAGTCAGAGATTGAGATGAGATCAAGATAGAGATAAGGATGGTTAGTCAGAGAGAGAGAGAACAGATACAGAGTGATTAAGACTGGTTAAGAAAACAGATAGAAAAGTTGGAAATGATATTTAAAGAGAGAAGTACGTACTTGGAGAACTGTTAATGATTTGCTTGTGTACAATGTTTATCTGAAGAACTTCTGTGATTATTAAAACTGCTTCACTTCAATAAATAAATTCTGTTTATATTCACAAGACAAGTGTTTTGACAAACGTCATTTAAATTGTGGATTGAGGTAATCCACTGGTGGCAGTGGGAGGAAAACGCGATGTGAGCCTTTGTGAGGTCAAAACACGCAGGTGCCACAAGGGTGAACGCCACAGCGATCAGCCTACAATGGCTTTTAATTTAATTTAAAGCTTCCTATCCCTGCCCTTCAGGTTCCGAGGCGCCCTATGCTTACCTTTTGATCCGGGGAAGTCTTTAGGAGCCTCAAGTTGACAATGGGGACTTTAATAGCCAAACATCACAGCCACTGGTGCTACTGTCAATCTAGTGGCAATATCTGGCCATTAAAGGCTCCTTCTCACCATCCCAGGGATCTGAACGGCATCCTCAGGTTGAAAGGGAGTCCTAGTGAACCTTTCCTTCTGGTAGAGGACAGGAAGCTTTCAATGCAATTAAATATTACTGTGAAGGGCTGATTATGTCATCCTAGCTGCACAGCAAAGGATCTATGAAATCTAGAGGACTTCAGCCATTCTCTCAGAACTGGATGATTAAAAATGAATACCCTTGGCTTGCATTAGGCTGCCTGAGGACCTCACACCTGAAATATTTAAAATGAGAGACTTTTCAGGTTAGCTATGATGCTATGTTAACTTTCTAAACATTCTGTTCGTAAAAAATAAAGTTCATGTTAAGCTTTGTTTCTTAAAATAATAATATATTTTAAAACGTCACCAAGCAGAGAATTACCTCTGAAGGCCTATTGTTTTCTCCAGAGATAAATTTTCACATAACTAACTGCAACAGTTTATTTCATTCTATGTCAGACAAAGAAGTTAGTATCTGAACAGACTCAAATTTAACATCAGAAACGGCAATATGAATGAACTATTATGAACATATTTCAACTTCTCAGGACACTGTCTATGACCTCAAGGGTAACGACGTTTGAAAAAACAAATTTCAAAGATAGGAAAATGGAGAAATAAATTGCACGTTGTATTTTAAAATATTTTCTATTCCACAGGATTGGTTAAGAACAGGAAGCTACCCAGAATAATAGCACAGTCCTTACAAATGAGGCTCATTACTTCAAATGTACTGCTGCAGAATAATATTCTGACTGAACCATTTACTGTACCATTTATTGCCCTGCCCTTAGGGAGTACACATTTTGCCTTGGAGAACTACTGTTAACAAAGCCACATTTAGCCTAGCTGTGGATTTATATTGCAATATTGGTCTGCTGACTATCAGTGGCTCTTCAAGACTCAGAAATGGAGTCTTTCAGCCTTGTTACATACTATCCTTCAGCAGGATACTGATGCCCAAATCTTAGATCTCTTGCATGCAACACATATGCTTCACAAGTGAGTGATATTCCCTCTTCTCCTGCAATAGCTGGAAGAATCTGAAGCTATGCATCTTGTTTTAAAAAACGTGATGAATTTATACACAGAAGAGCGTTCAAAGCAACAAGTACCTACCACTTGTCCATAGAGCTCCTTTAGTTTGTCTGTCTGCTGGCTGGCTCCCTGAATGGTCTTCAGAGCATTTTCAATCCTGTTCAGCCTATATTCACAGTACGCCTTCTCAAAGGCTATCAAATCACTGCAACATATATGTCAGAGGCAGAGTGTCATTTTGCAGTATCTATGACCCATAGAGTATTTGTACTTGCATTACTTCTTGTTAATAAACAGCTTGCCTTGTTGAAGTACAACATTGCACTGAACAGACCATGTCAAAAGGAATACAGACGGAAGAAGCAAATTACTGAATCTGTGGAGTTGTTCAGTAAACTTATTGGGCTTACAGATATACAGCGCTTATTGGGTTGATATTCTTATTGCTTGTTATTATGTGCTTTCAAGTCGCTTCCTACTTGTCGCGACCCTAACATGGATGTTCTCCACTGTGACCTTTCAAAGAGGTCCCACGTTCAAGGAACAATCTGAATGCAATATCCTGATTCCTAGTCTGACACTCTATCCACTACACCGCTATTCTTATTAGTAATACATTAACAACACCTTTTTACAGCACGTTACTTTCAGTGCAACTGGAGAGTCACTCTGAGAAATACACAAGCTCTGTATCAATGTATCTGCACTTACTTGCTCGGGTACCCTAGGTGCTGTAAAAAAAACATTCTTGTACTTCAAGAACTCCATTAGATACATACACCTTCAGAATAATTATGGTACATGAGAAAATTATCCAAGAGCCAGAGTTCTTTAACCAGATTGCTAGCTGAAGCACTGGAGGGAGTTTTCTTTGCAATGATCCAGCCAGTGAACTGGTTTCACTCTCCTCTTTCTTTCATGTATAGGTGAAAAAATGGAGGAATGGAAGCAGGAAAAATCCCTATTACCTGCTCTGGAAATAAACAATGGGGATTCCTGGTCCCTGACCCCACCACCCTCAAGGAGACTGGGCTTGTAAGAAGGGAGATGGGAAGTCCCCATGGGCCACAGTTGTTGCCCCCTCCCTGGTCTAGAGTGCATTTTAAAACCCTCTGCTCAAGTTTGCATATTTTGGGGAAAAAAGGATTACAAAAACCGTGCATTTTCTGATTGGCATTTAACAGGAAAACACTCACCTGGTCAATACTTTGGTGTGGGTGTGAATCACACTGAGAGCTTCCTTAAAATTTCCATTTTGGATAAGACAAACCACTTTGCAGTGCAGAGCAGTCACGTCATCTTTGTTGACCTGCAATACTGCAAAAAGCAAATGCAATTCATTACACTACTATAGGGACCTAGCAACTGCTATTCAACACTTGCAGACGTACAGTACAGGCTTCTGCAACCAGATACTATCTAGATATTCTAGACTACAACTTTCCCCAGTCATGACCTTTGCCATTGTGGGTGGTGCTGGTGCAGTTAAAAAATAAAAATAAAAAAGCTGAAGGCATCAGATAGTGAAGGCCGAACAACATCACTGCTTTCCAAGCTATTACACAGAGATTCCAGGAGTTCTTTTAGTGAGAAGATTAGGCATTCCTTTGCAAAATAAAACAATCAGCAATGTTGGACAAATGTTGAAAAGAGCTGAAGGCAAAAGTTGACTGTATTTTGTGAGGACAGGACCAGGACTGAGCCGTCCCCTCACGAATATAGCCTAGAGCAGTGAGTAAACCCACGGAGAAAGGAGAGGAAGGAGTAATAAAAGGAACAAAGGAGCAAACTACTGAGACGTGCGAGGAGAAAGTGGAGAAGGACAGTCTCGTGAAAGGAGTAGGGTGGCCTGGAGGGGAGGAGAGACATGAAGTGAGTGTCAGGCACTTACTAGTCGGATGGATCTCAGGAGGGGGAACCATTAGGACAGTTGAGGGGAGAGAAGGAAGGAAGGAGGAGAGTCAGAACAGGAGAGGGGAAAAGATGTGTTTCTGACAATGGAGGTAGGAGAGTTGTCACAAGAAACCGAGACAGTGATTGTGTACAAAGAGAAAAGTGATGAGAAAGCAGAAGGAAAGGTGCATGCCTTCTCAGTTCTGTGTAAGAGAACAGCAGAGAGTTCAGAAGACGCTGGTGAAGGGACATCTACTAGAGATAAATTCCGACCTATAATCCCTGGGTTGAGCCCGCTTGAATGGACCGTCCTGGTCTATCCAAAAAATCTAGGTCCGGGACGGCCAGTCTACACAGTGGACCCGAAGATGGTGACAGAGGAGCCGTTAGAAGGCGAGTGGGCTCGTCACCCATGTTGCGGGACACTGTGTATGGTGTGCAATCAATGTTTGAGAGAACCAATGAAACAGGAGAGAGAGGCAAAAACTTGTTATTAAAGGATGTTAATGGTGAAAGTTCTTTGTTATGGTTATGGGAGCAATCCTCTCCCCAGTTATCTATATGTTGCCCAAATGAAATAAGTAAAAGAGACACAGTTGGTTTTGACAATAAAAATTCGTTTATTCAGAACTCGGACACATCTTTTGTGGTGCGAGAAGAGGAACAGCCAGTAGTGAACCCAGGACCTACTCACATATTTCAGGACACATGAGGTCTGTTGAGGTCCAACGGACTAGTAAGTGCCTGACACTCACCACGCAGGTCACAACTATCAATCATGCCAGTACAGTGGGGTCTCTAGTTAAGAACTTAATCCGTATTGGAAGGTGGTTCTCAAGTTGAAAAGTTCTTATGTTGAATCTGCATTTCCCATAGGAATGCATTGAAAACCATTTAATCCGTATCTGCTCTTTTCCGTCCATAGAAACTACAGTGGAACCTCTACTTAAGAACTTAATCCGTTTTGGAATGGTGTTCTTAAGGTGAAACGTTCTTAAGTTGAAGC